ATAAAGAAAGCAATGATCTGGAATCGAAAAAAAAATAAAAAAATAAATGTGTAAATGATCGTGACACGAACCACGGCCGTCTGTTTTGGGGCCGCCCGATTACCGACCGAGCTATTTTGACATTTTCTCTTGCGCCGAAATTTACCGTCATATTCGAATTATATTTTTCATTCCCTGAAAACAGGGATTAAAGGACATTTTCTAAAAATGAAACCTAGCTAATTCGATTTTTCGCCCCCGAATCTATGCACATACTAAATTTCATGAAAATCGCTGGAGTCGTTTCCGAGATTCCGATTATATATATATATATATATATATATATACACAAGAATTGCTCGTTTAAAGGATAAGATAAGTCTCGATGAGAGATCGGTGAGTTGGATTGAGTTTTAGAATTATAAAGAAGAAAAAGGAAGAGTAATATTTTAAAATATTTACAATGTCGATGCCTTCCTTTTACGAGAATATTATACAGAAACTACTTTACTGATTGTATCACGTTTTGTTTTGATTTTAAATTCAATCCAATCAATTCACTTCAATCCTGCTTTTTCAACATTAACAATACTCTTACTAACGTAATTAAATTAGTATTTTTAGCGCCCCTTGATACCTGGCTCCTCATGATCTACTCTTTGGCCAGCGCTGACCATAAGCTTCTTTTGAGTACATCGGAATAAAATAAGTAATAAAACAACTCGGTCTGTCCCACGGCTATGAACGCCGAAATACAAGGGGACATTTCAAATAAAAATAAAACGCGATAAAATCTTTGACAGTTTAGTGTTTAATTTTTTATAGATTGTTTTCCTTGCCTGAAAATAAATAACAGGGGTTAAGAAAAAGTTTGGTAAAGACTTTCCACCTGCTCATAAACATCCAGAACACCTTTAGATTTGAAAGTTACATTTGATGATGCAGATGTTTGAGAGTCTTTAGTCATTCGAAATCTTTACATAATTCAAAACCATTACAAAGTCAAAGTCTATCTTTATTCAATATAGAAGCATTCACTTACTTATTTATAGTCAAAAAACTCTACCATCGGTTCGGAAGGAAAGCCACTGACCTGAGAAGAACCGGCGTAAGAAACTCAGCGGGACATTTTTTTTTACTTGCCAAAAAAATTACAAATATGTGTACAATTATTAAATTCCACTTGAAAGAGCCTGGAGCGATCAATTCATTTCCAGAGTGTGTTATCATTCAGATAATCACTAATACTATAATAGCCATTAACACACAAACGTTCCTTTACAAGTTTTTTGAATTTAGCAACGGATTCATTTTGAACGTTTTCTGGGATTTTGTTGTAAAAGCGAATACATTTTCCCATAAAAGATTTACTTGTTCTACGCGATGTAGTTGAGGGTAGAACTAATTTATGCTTGTTCCTAGTATTTACATCATGCACATTACTAAATCTTGAAAAGTCATTCTTAATTAAACTTATATTTCTTTAAACAGGTTTCTTAGTGAATCTTTGGGGCCCAGGTTATAAACCGCTCGAATAGCACTCTTTTGCAGGATGAAAATAGTATTTATGTCGGCTGCATTCCCCCAAAGTAGAATGCCATAAGACATTATACTGTGGAAATAGCTAAAATATACCAGACGAGCCGTATCCACATCAGTCAACTGTCTAATTTTTTTGACTGGGAAGACTGCTGAGCTAAGTCTACTCGACAGTTTATTAATATGGGGGCTCCACTGCAATTTGGCATCTACAGTTATGCCAAGAAATACAGTCGAGTCAATTAGGTCTAACGCTTCCCCATGTAGAAGTACATCAGTTTTTACACTTTTTACGTTGGGAGTTGTAAATTTAATACATTTCGTTTTTTTACTATTCAGCATTAAGTTGTTAGCACTAAACCAATGTACTACAGTGGAGAGAGTATTGTTAACATCGTCATAATTTACAGAATGCCGTTTAACTTTAAAATTAAAGAAGTATAATTAGCAAATAATACTATCTCATGATGATTATTAACAAGATAGGGCAGGTCATTTATGTAGATGAGGAAGAGAAAAGGCCCCAGAATAGATCCCTGTGGAACCCCCATACTTACCAGGGCCCCGGGAGATCTCTTGCCATTCACGTCAACTCTCTGAACACGATAGCTCAAGTACGATGTCAGAAGATTGAGTGCGGCATCTCTTATACCATATTGGTGTAGTTTCCTGACCAGAGTGTCATGCTGTACACAATCAAATGCTTTGGTTAAGTCACAGAATATACCTAAGGCATCCTGTGACTTTCCAAGGCTTCAAAAATAGTCTTAACAAGCTGGATACCCGCATATGTTGTTGAGCGACCCCTAGTAAATCCATATTGCTTGTTATGCAACAATTTATGTGTACTAAAATGGAGTAACATTTGATTCAAAATAATTTTTTCAAAAATTTTACTAAGAGTTGGTAGTACTGAAATAGGTCTAAAATTGCTGGGGTAAGAAGTACTACCAGATTTGAACACCGGACTAATCTTACTATATTTCATAAGGTCAGGAAACTCGCCACGTTGAATACAAATATTAAATATAGTTGCTAAGTAAGGTGAGACTACATCAATTATAGAACTGATCACCTTGACAGAGATCCCCCATAGATCAGCAGTTTTTTTAGTATCTAGAGATTTGAATGTTTTTTTTATAATATCGTTCTTATTAACAGGCCAACAATATATTATACCGCGGTGCCGGCACCAATGAAATTGGTAATTTTAAGTGCCGACTTATCACGAGCTCAGCGGTGAAGTATATTGTGAGGAAACCTGCAGATTTTCGAAATAATAATGAAAAAAAAATGTTTCGAAGATATGTGAAGTCCTCCAATCCGCAGTAGGGTCGCGTCGTGGACTATGCCCTAATACCCTCTGCGCAAAGAAGGCCTTTACCCAGCAGTGGGACGTATGTAGGTTGTTACTTTACTTTTCTTTAAGGTGGAAAACGAGCTGGCGGTTTACCTATTAAGTGATAACCGCCACCTATGGTCATTTGCTACACCCGTAGTATTGCATGTATGTTGATTTACCACCTTTTTATAAAGTGAGCCCCGGCTACCTCACTCACCAGACGAAACGCAGAAGTATATATATACACTTCACGTCGGTCTTCTGCGAGGTCGTGCTTCTTACCCGGACGGACCTGTCCATTCGTACAACAGCCGAAGCTGTAGCGTGGCCCAACCATAGTAAAAATAAATATACATAACTAGCTGACCCGGCAAAGTTGTTTTGTATAAATTATTATTTCTAGGGAATTTATGAATCTGAACGCATATAAAAAGAATTTTCGGAACACAGGCATAAATGTTTGACAGGTAGCAACAGTTTGGATGGGAAAATACAATTGTTTCTATTTCGATTTTCCATGCAATTTTTCTATAATTTCCCGTAGTTTAAATCTTCCCTGGACTGCCTGCTACAAATATTTCAAAACCAAAATTAGCCAAATCGGTCCAGTCGAACAGCAATTCATTTTTATATATATAGAAGACGTAAATTCCAAATTGTTTATTTTACGAGCATGGTCATGAAGTCTGCTATAAACCGAAAATTACTTATTTGTAAATTAGTATGTCAAATGTTCATTATTCTAAAAGGCTCCCACTGACCCAGTAACCCTTCGAGTCCTGACATTAGCTATTTGTCAACGTATAAAGTTAATTTCCTATTGTCTGCGCGATTATTTCTTATACGTATAAAATATTAGTCCGAATGTTTACTAAGATTTTGACCTATCCCATTCCAATTTAATTAACAATTTACAATGGACCCAATTAAAGTAAGTTTAAAGAGAAATACGATTTTGCTTAACATTTAGTCTTATGAAACTTTTGTAAAGGCCCATTTACACGATGCCATTTTCTTGTACATACAAGAGCAATAATTGAATGCAATAAATTGCGCGCAATAATTGTTTAGACCATTTGTTGTTTAGACCATGCAACTCATTTATTGCTTCAATTTAATTGTATACAACAGGCAAGAAACTGGCACCATGTAAATGGGCCTTAAGATTTCCACTTAAAAGGTTACTAAATCGCAAACAGAAGCTTGTTAAATGAATTCAGTCCAGAAGAGAAAAAAGGCGTGTGTTTATAAATTTTAAGATATGCAAAAAGTACAATTAGATAATAGATGAACTTTTATTCTGTTAGAAGGTGGTAAGCGAGTGGACAATTCACTAAACTTGATGTTAAGTCAGTGTCATGTTAATTTAGTTTAGACATGTTGTCATTCATAGCGGCATGCATAGCATTCTTTTAATTGTATTTCAGTCAAATAAAGTTGAATTTACTATAAAAACTAGACATGAAACTAAAAAATGATAACTATTTGGACAGCCAAATTGTTATTCATTTATTACAAGGATTAGTTAGCCAATTGTTTATTGTGGAATGAAAGCTATAATTATGGAAATATTACAGAAAAGAGATTATTTTAATGGTAAAACAAACAGTAAGAAAAATGTATATAAATTCTTATATGTATCTGAAGCTAAAACTTTGGATTCTTTTAAAGAAAGGACATATTTTATTTCCACAACACATAATGCATTAAAAGAAACAATAAAATTGAACTAAAAATGTTTTCTTCAAGTATGTAAAAAAAGGTTAAAATCTTCACATACTGGAATACCTTTTAAAATAAACTTTTTTATGTGAGTGGCAAGCAAGCTGGATCTTCACCTGATGTTTAGTGATAAACCACCGCCCATTGACATTTGCAACACCTATAGGATTGCAGATATGTTGCCACCTTGTAATAGTGGACCCCGGCAACCTCACTCACCAGACAAAATGCAGAAGTATAACACTTCCACACCGGTGTTCTGAGAGGTTGTGGTACTTACCCGGAGACCAGCCCATTCATGCAGCCGCAAAGACTGTTACATGGCCCTACCACAGTTAAAAGCTAAAGATTGCGTTAGAATATATAATTCTTATATTAATTATTGACAAAATTAAAATAAAAATTTCATGTTGCTTACCTCATATACATTTGGATGCCACACTTTTGTCAGGAACCTAATGGAAGGTGGAGAATATGGATAGTCTGGAGGGAACTTCATATGTGCCTGAAATAAAATGAAAATCTTTAAATTATGTAGTAATTATTAAAGTATAAAAACCCAAATTAAATAACAGATCATAAAGTTTTTTTAAATATAACTTTATATAGATAAGGCAACCTTTAAATAAGTACCCATCTACAATGTTGTTTCTTTACATTTACTGTTGTTATAAAAAAAATATTATTCCCTACACAATAAGCTATAACGTTAAATTTATATATAATACATAATCATGTAATGTTTAGCAAACAATAATAGTTTTTGATCCATTTCTTAATCCTACCGAATTGGATATCTTCATCCTACTTACTTAAACACCTCTTTCCATTCTTATATTATCTCATTTCTTACATTTATTTTTGGCTGACATGGATTTTTTATAATGAATTACAAAAAATCCATCGTCAGCAAAGGATTAACGGTAACTAAAGCTAATTATTATTATCTGTAAAACCTTATATGTATACTAAATAGGATGTGAAGTGTGGTGTTACTAGTATTGGTTGGCAAAACAGCTTTATGAAAAAATTGTATTTTGATACAATATATTTTGTAGGTACTTCTATTTTTAAGCTTGAATATTCATAAAATTAATTTATAAAATGAATATTCTATAGATATATAATTGTTATGACAATTTAGGAAGAGAGAGAGAGCAAAATTTGTACATACAAAAATTTGTATATACTCTGAATACTGATTACTCTGGTAGTAGCTTGTTGTTACTGGTTAAATAATGCTATCATTGCACTCATGAATCCCATTCCCATAATATTTTCAACATGTACATGAATTAAAATCAAATTCAACAAAATTATAATAACATTGCATTAGAAAACAGATTTAATTATTGTGTAGGTGATTTAGGTACAATGTTCAGAATTGCTATATAAAGAGTTGATTTCAAACAGTATTTTATTATAAATTTAGAAGAGAAAAATTCAAGAGCCTGTGACACCACACTGACACTTTATTTAATAGCTACACTTTGATTGTTACAAATTAAATATTCGTGTTTTTGAGTTCGTGAACTATAAAGAAATGTTGATAAAGTTTTAATTTAATATTTTATACTTATGCTTATATTTTCAATTTAAAACCTAAGTAAAAAAAGGTCAAACAAAAAAATTCTTGCAGAATCAATAAATATAGTAAAAAATTTATTAATACATTCAAATTGAAATAGCCGGAGTACATAATTGGGATACATAATTACTCACTGAACATGGCAGGTGACAAGAGAAACTATAACCACAGAATGAAGGTATGTCTAAAAAGTAGTTAGTAATAAAAAAAGGTCAAGGAAACTATAAGCCTAAATATATATGTATATTTATTATTCATATATTTTATCCTTACCTTGAAGTATCCGCCTTGATATAAAGTGTCTGGTGGTCCAAAAATTGCAACTTCCCATTCGAATAAATTATCCTCTCCTAACAGTTTCACTCTAAAACCTTCGACGGGCTCCTCCTGAAGGCTTTTATATTCTAAGGCCAAAGCTCTGAGTGCAGAACTGTTTGGAACCGTACTAGACATTTTTACAAATATTTATTTTGTGGTTATGAAAATTAAAATAACTATCTACGAGAGATTCTATTAACATAACACTGTAGAGCTCTCCTCGCGGTCCACGTATTCACGAGTCATTTCTACTTGATTTGAGTCACAATAACAATGAACGATTTTTGGTAAACATATCGCCAAGAAACTCACGGATTGTAATGATTCACACACTTTTGTAGTCTATACTGCAAGTACAGGTTGGCAGTAAGAAACTGAAAAATGTAGCGATCGAGCTACACGGCGAGAGATAAAACAATGAGAAAGTCACTATCCAATGTCCAAATAATCGCAGTTACAAGGAAAACGGCAGCGTGTTCGTTTGTACGCAGCTGCTACCTGAGTTGCCCGAAGGAATATTGTAGAACAGCTGTTAGTTATTTCCGTGCCCGATTGCGCAGCGTCGTGACGCACGCGGCCATTTATCGACTATCAATGTTTGTAGCGCCCTCTAGATTTAAAATTGCGATATATATATATAAAAAAGAGCCATCTATGAACAATAATTTGAAACGTTTGAAAAGACATTGTATTAAGTTTGCATAAAACTTGCAATTGTAGTAAAAGATGACGCTTTTACTAAATATATAGAATGAACATTTTAAAAATGGCATGACTAAGGAGTTTTCGAGCGTAATGCGTACGTATCTATGTATGTCAATCCAAACAGGACTGAGTAATATTACAAAAAAACTACCTGAGATGGAGATAACGGGGACAGAGGCTGTTTATCCGATATAGAGATCGGGAGAGAGATGCTTGCAATACTATGTTAATACAAATACAAGATTCTACTTTGGTTGTATTTCTTTATTTACACACATTATAATTACGTGTAAAATCAGCCCTGTATTAAATATATACCATTGCTGACTCCAGCGTGCAGGACCCATTATACTCCAAGCTATTCTGAGAATAAGAAGAGTCAGGCCATCATCTATGGGTCAGGCCATCATTGTCCACAAACGATGGCCAAGTGCGGGTGTTAAAAGCAAGGTCGTACGGAAAAATTTTAAAATTAAAGGATGTCCCGATACATACATAGTCGACCTCAATTAAGATACTAGTAGACCTCTGAGTTGTATGGGCGCTTATACAAATACAATTACATACTAGATAATAGTATGAAACCCTTCGTGCGCAAGTCCGACTTGCACTTGGCCGTTTTTCTTATGAGGCATAAAAGAATTTGCATATGCCTTAATAAATATTGATATATCATATTTGTACACTCTCCCTTGGATCTATGCACTAAAATATTATATATAGTCAGCTTAATATTGAAATAAATAATTCATTTTTAAGTTGTAAAGCACCATGCTTGTTATGTAGTTTATACTTATGAGTGAAATCACTCCCGATCTTTACCCATTATATTATTACCGTGCAGTGTTTGAAACTAAAAATTAAACCCAAAAAACAATAAAATTCGTTAAATAGATTTTAAAAAGCATGTTACACTATAAATGTCGTGTGAGTTGTTGCAAATAAATCTAGGAACAGGGAACGCTTTAGAACAGGGGTGAGCAACCTCTAATCAATGGGCCAATTTAAATTAATTTTTTTTGGCGGGCCGCACATAATAATTTACAAAACTTTATTTGTAATAAATATTAGAATAATAAAACATAAAATTAAAAAAAAGTAGATTTCATAAACAAATTTTAATGCAAGGTAAAAAACAAACAAGAAAAGAACAGAAAAACGAGCAAAAAATATTTCGTTCAGTATGTAATACAATTTCATCATAATTAATTTTATAACAATATATTGATGGGAGAAAATCGATAAAAAATGCTTGGCGGGCCGCATAAACATGTTTAACGGTGCTCATCCTTGCTTTAGAAAGTGTACCTAAGCTGTATGTATGGTTTCAAAATTGCTGCACTCAGATAGTGACTTTTATATATATAACGTCCATATAATATATACTATACTTTATAACCTATAGGTATATAGGTTAAGTTTTTACCATTTAGAATAAACATAATTGGTACACATCAATCTTCCGGGGCAACCATGCATTACTAGAATAGTCAATGTAAATAGGTATATGTCTAGGCTTATTAAGTAAGGATTTTCACTCCTATGAAATAAAACAGGTTGGCAGGGGTGATGAATGTACTTATTTGTGGCACTTGCATGCAGTCAGGCGGTGGGCGCATGATTCGAAGCCGACTCGCCCACCATTACCATTTAAAGGCAGCAAAAGCCGGGCCTTGTACAGCCCACGTCTTCGTTCACTGTCTGCGGAGGCAATCGTTGTTTTGTATCTGTGTTTAGTTATAAATGTACAATAACTAATACATTGAGTTTCGAATGTCGAGTGATTAACTAACTAATTACGGTGACGTCGGAGGGTTTAAAATAACTAATTAAGATTAGATGTGGTGGGAAGAAAATATAAAACCAATATTTACACGCGCCACATAATTTGTGAATAGCTATGTCACAACAGGAAAATTTCAATAACAGTGTGGTGGCAGTGTAAAAGAATCGATGACGAATGTATTTGCAAGCAACTGGCGGATAAGGGTTTTGAGAAAACCTTGACTGCCTACAGATGGCGTAATGAACAGTTCGATCATAGTAAAAGAAACGGGTATTGGTGGGGGTGGTTGTTTTCTTTAAATTATTTAAAAATTGATCGTCGTTAATGACGGGACGTAATGAAATAAAACGATGTAAAATTAAATATTAAAAAAGTATATAGCGGTATTTTACCTATTCGAATATTACGTTCATAAAAATATTGTTCTTAAGCTGCATTATGCTTTAATATCTAGTACCTGGAGGACCGTGGGTTTTTTTTTTGGTAAATCGTGTATTTTGGAAATTACATTTAGATACAAATTACTAAGTAATGAAATATGCATAATATGTTTCGATCTTACCGACGTAATAATAGGAAAATATGAACTGGTGTTTTTCACAAAAGAAAGAACTTTAAAAAAAAGGGAAAAAAATAACAAAATAACAAATCGACAAAAAATAAAAGATAAAGAAAGCAACGATCTGGAATCAAAAAAAATGTAAAAAAATAAGTGTGTAAATGATCGTGATACGAACCATGGCCTTCTGTTTCGTGGCTGTTTGTTAGCGGCCGCCCGATTACCGACCGAGCTATTATAACATTTTTTTTTTCGGTGAAATTTACCGTCGTATTCGAATAATATTTTTCATTCCCTGAAAACAGGGATAAAAGGACATTTTCTGAAAATGAAACCTAGCTAGATCGATTTTTCGCACCCGAAACTGTAAGTAACTTATACAATATCATCTAGCTTTTAAAAATGGTAAAAAGTGAAAAAATATATTGTAGGATGAAACCCATTCAAAAAAGGAAGAGAATTAACAAAAATGAAAGGAAAAATAATTTACAGGCGATCTGAGTTCATCTCGATTTCCGCCAAAACTACCGAGTTCGATGGAAAAAAGTAAAATGGTAAAGTTGTAGTAGTAGTAATAAAAAGATCTACAACTTTTGTATCTACACTTTTTTCACATAAGCTCATTTATGTGAAAAATTCAAATAACCAATCTTTAAAAAAATTTTTTTTCTCTGAGTTTGGTGAAAACTTACCTTTTTATATCCCAAACACACCGTGATTTATTTCATTTGAAATATTTATTTTTTCACTTTATTTTGGACTCAATATCGAAAAAGCACCCTAAATTTCAATCGAAAATTCTCCCGTCAAAATATCAGCTTTTTTTAAAAAGTCGTAGGGCTTTTTGTTCGTTGAAATATCTACTTAAATCATCAATAGCGAAGACGATTTCACTTTTTCTAGATTTTCTGCCGCTATATAAAATAGTGACTTATCTGATGTCCATAAGATCCCATAGAAATCTTAAAATTTATCAGTTTTAATTACGAAAAACTAATTTTCATCTATTGCAGTTATAACCAAAAAAATATACCGATCGAATTGATAACCTACTCTCCTTTTAAAGTCGGTTAAGAAAGAATGCTGCCATTACCTCAGGAAAACGGCGCAAGGCTATTGAATTTTATCCGAAATAATTTCATGAGTTCTATAATGGAAGGAACTTACACCTTTTCAGGTTTTAAACATGTTTTCAATTTCATACAGATCAAATGACTTGTCGTGACTGTTCTAGCAGTTTCCGAAAAAAAGGGGAGAAAAGTGTGTATTAATTCCAAGCGCGGTTTTTGTTTCTTTTGTGAAAAATCTTAACTCTCCTTTACGCTCTACACGAGCGATATACCTAAAGACCCCCACGTCAATCTCGCGCTTTTCGCGGATGACACGGCGCTCTTTTATTCAGACCGCAACCTTAGACAACTAACCGCTCGACTCCAAAGCGCTGCCGACCGCCTCGGCGATTGGTTCCGCAAATGGAGAATAGAAATAAATCCCGAAAAGAGTGTGGCGATTCACTTCACACGAAGTACTTACCCGTCACATCTTTATAATGGCCCTCGTCAATGCAGAAAGTTGGGGCAAATATCCCTTTATGGCCAACCGCTCCCCTGGAAGAAAAAGGTCAAATACTTAGGAGTCACTTTCGACTCGCGTATGTCATTTACTACGCACATTAATAACGTTCGCAATAGAGCCGCGTTCGTCTCCGGCCGGCTACACAATTTAACTAACGCTAAAAGTAAAATGCCCTTAAGCCACAAATTATTATTATATAAGACCTGCGTACGACCTATTATGTCTTACGCATGCATGACCTTCGCCCACACGCACCCTACTCGCTTGTACAAGTTGCAAATAGTACAAAATAAGTTCATCCGCCGCGCAACCGGTGCGCAGTGGTATCAACGAAACGTCGACCTGCACAGCGATTGCAGACTCCCGACGATTCGCGAATATTTTAAAGACCTGACCAAACGGTTCTTCGATAGAGCCGAACATCATCCCAACCCTCTGATGGTAAGCGCAGCAAATTACCAACCCGACCAAAACGCGAACGTCAACAAGCGTCGCCCGAGAAACGTCCTAATCGACCCGGTCGAGGAAGGGGACTTAGACACGCCGGACCCACTGCCGGTGGTCCCGCCGGACAACACTACACCCACAGTTAGTGCAACAACAAACACACTAGTTCGCCCTCGCCTCCGAGCACGGCGAGACCAACACAACGCGTACACAAGGTACACCCGCGTTCCGGGGCGGTTCTCACCGCCCCCAGCCACCGATTAGCTAATTGCAGAGTCGACGGCCATCGGGGTTTCGGTCCGAACCACGACCTCGATGGCCCTTAGATGACGTACCGTAGTAGTTAACGCACGCATGAGCACATGCGTGGCCCTACCCACAGCGGAGGGCCCAAACCCGTGGGTTCTGGCTAGCCCACCGGTTCTGCGTCAGATGAAGCTTTAATAGTCTCGGGACTGAAAGCAAAAACATCCGTTAATACAAGATACAAGATATAAGATTTTCGTAAAAAAAAAAACTTTGTACCAAGTTTTTGCTTCACGTATTAATATATATAGATAATTTGTTGTGTTTGATTGATAGATTTCAACTCTATTTTTTGCCTTGATATTATATTGTTATTTGTTTTCTTATTTAATTTGTTCGCACTACTTTTCTATTTACTTTTAATTTTAAGCACTTTAAGCATTTTAATACTTAGTAGTAATCTTTTATTTGTAACTGTATTTTTTGTTTACAATAAAGAATAAGATAATTATGATGCAATAAAAAATTCTGTAATTATAATAAGAATGATTTTTTCAAACCATTCAAAATTGGTAAGTAATTTACTTATATGTTACAGTGAGTCAATTTAACTTTTTCAATTTTAATTGGCAACAACACGTTCTTATTTCAGCCCAAGAATACAATAACCCAATGCGGCATTTTGATAAGCCACAAATTTTTTCATAAAACTTTTATAAAACACAGCTTTACTAACAATCAAATCGATAAACGTACACTTGATATATAAAAAATAAGGTTTTGAAAAAAAAAAAGAGGCCATATTGGAATCAGATAAGTTGTATTAACCAACTACATTGCACTCAGAAAAGGAAATACTTCAAGACGTTCTGAACCTAAAGTAAATGCAAATGTTACGCATTGTGATGAATGAAACACATAATATAAAATACTTATTTACTTGACGAGTTATAATATCTCGTTCATATTCTTCTAGCAAACTAATTTGAAAGAAGTGAGATCCAAATTGGTTTTAAGGAAATCATTATTAATGGTCATCATCTTTATTGCTTCTAATTGTTTTATTATCATACAGCACAGAATCAGTGGCCTGACAAATCCATATTCTTATCAATTATAAATATGCATATGCGATTAAATTGAAGAATATTATTACCGTGCCTGTTGTAAACACAGTTTCCGATTAAGGGGTGACGCGGTGTGCCATTTTTGGTGTTAGTCCGACGCCCGGCGAGATGTAAGCGCTTACGTGTCGCGAAGGTCCGGTGGGCGACGCGATAAACGTCAAGGTGCAAGGGGGGCTCAGCGAGCTGCCTCCACACCGCCGCACTCGCAGACTCCGAGAGACAGTCGCGAGCAACGCGCGCGCGCGCACCTCGCACGACACGAACGACTCTCGCGACGGTTATATTGCATGGCAAAGCGTACCATATTTTGTATTATGTGTTAGTTGAATATTATTCTATTATTTAATGGTTGTTATAAGAATCTCCCGTATTTTAAGCGTAGTTTCGTAATTTCCTGTAGCCACGCGGATTGGTGTTAATCATAATGACTATAAAAAATAAAAAGACTAAACAAACGAAGGCGTCAGAAGTGACCTCGACGAGCAGTGCATCGACCAGTGTGCAGAAGAGCAGCACGTCTACTGTGCAGAAGAGTAGTAACACTCTGCAGAAGGTCAGCTCGGCAGGTAAAAAGGTCCGCTACATCGACGTAAAGGTCGAGGAGGATGACCCGCTCATGATTACTGATGTAACTGATCACGCTTCTATAACCGGCTCTACAATATCAGAGCATTATAATAGCCATCCGCACTACATAATAACAGAAGCACCATCTGTGACTGATTTATCTCAAACCAGATTACACGAACATAATGTCAGTGATATGGCTCAGTCTACAACCGGTGAGTTCGTCTCTAGTTCTGTACTTCAAGAGACCTCTTCAACTCACCAACAGAGCTCAAAAAGTGAAAAATTTGAGTCGTCCTCGACCTCAGTACAACACTCTGACTCCACTCACAGTCAGACATTTGATAGAACGGTAGATTCGTCCATTGAGAACCAAACTCTCAACACTGGTTTTATAGACAGCACCGCTCATAACATAAGAGGATCAAGTGGTCATATTATGAGACCTCAGGGTGCAACTGCAACTAATTCATTGCTTCAATCGGAACGTGAGAATGCAACCAATATACAAAGGACACAGCAAAAAACGTTTTTATCTCGAAAAGATATGAAAGACAATTTCTCGAAAATAACTGATAAAAAATTTGTTAACCAGCGCGAGAAGGACAATTATCATTCCTCCGATGGATCGAAGAGAAGTCAGACTGTTAAGTCAGACAGTGGTAATTTTTACGGCGGAGAAGGTACGCTTGATCGGAACGTTAAAAGTACTGAATATAGTACAATAAGTCAATCGAGTGAAAATAAAAGTAATAGTGTGACAAAATCATCGTCATCGTCGTATGTAGTGGAAATTGTTGATGGAAAAGAACGCATAATTGATAGCTCCAAACGTGAATGGGGTGACGCCCAAGAACACTTATCAAAAGAAGCTTATGCAAGCGTTAGTGGAACTGATATTAAACCGCAATCTGTTTACAGTGCAAAAAATTATGACATGAATTCTAAATACGACTCTGGAAAGGATGGTATACCTAAAAGTGAAATGACTATTAGAGAGGACTCAAAGTATGTGAAGGATGGGCAGCAAATTAGTGCACATGAGAGCATTGTCGCGCATAAAGATACAATTCACCACCTGAAATCTGCTGAAGATAGAACATCAGTCCATGATAATGTGCAATACATTGATTCTTCTTCTGATACAGTAAACAACACGCAAAGTAATACTAACACAGTCGAAAGTAGTAAAATAATCAATGAAAGTACAAATATACAAAGACGTAACCAGAATACCAGAACCGATTCGTCTAACTTTTACGGTTATGACACAACAATTCAAAACGAACTTCAGAAGGTTGGCGATATTCTGCAGGTTCGAGATACCGACAATATTAACTTTTCTACTAAAATATTAAAGAGCAATACAAGCAGCGCTCAACAGGCATCAACATCTTCTTACGTTTTAGAAGTGATTGACGGCCAACAAAGGATAGTGGACAGCTCTCATCGAGAATGGGGAGATAGTAAAGAACACGCAACACATGAAAAAAGTCATTACGTTAGTGGACCAGGCATAAAACCAGAGCATGAATATACGCGACATGTCTTAGACAAGGAATCTTTCTATGATACTGGTAAAGATGGTATACCCAAGAGCGCAACTTCCGTTTCCGAGGAATCAGCTTTGTATAAAGATGGTAAAGAGGTCGCTTCTACACGAAACGTATATTCTGGAGACTTCACAAAGAAGCCAGCGATTACTGAACATCCTTCCGATAGAGATGATATGCGTGTCAGAAACATACAGGACACGACCAACAAATCAGTTTATTCTGATACTCAAGAAACAATCACATCGGACAAAACCACCAACGCCCGTGATAATAAAAATGTTACCACAACGACTGATTTTATCACAAAAGAAAAACAAAATATAGTAAAGGAGACAACATCAAAATCAACTTCTGAAATGAAAGACACTTTGACCACATACGAAAGAAGCACGGGAACATGGAATGGAAAGTTTGTTTATGAGAAAGATGATGATAGGCCAAAACGCCCTAAAGAAATGTCACCTTTTGGTAAACCCGAACAGCCTCGACACCATCTTAAGCGACAAGACACACAGGATAATATTATATTAACATCAAAAGACATAAAAGATTTTACATCCATAAGTGACTTGCGAAAAATTATTGAGACCTCTTCATCGAATAAAGATGTAACGGTAAGTAACAAGAACATTGTTATAAGGAGAAATATTGACGACAGGGTGTTAAAGGATATAATAGAAACGGTTAAAAAATATCCATTTAAGAGAATTGACAAAGTTACCTTTGGCACTAAAATTAATGAAGATGTGAAAGATCTATATGAAGGTGTGGATACAGAGCAAATGACTGTTCTAAATTCAAGCAATTCTGACATAATCAAGAAGTCATTCGAAGTGGACAAAACAAGAAGTCAAGTGGAGGTTACGCGTTATATTACGGAAAATGGAGTAACTAGAAAAGTAACAACTTACGAAGATGCAAAAGAAGACGAGAAAGTAAAAACCGACGTTTTTGTCGATAACAGTGCGTTAGACATCAAAAACTTGGTACGTTGACCATTAAGTATTAAAGTTACTAACCATATGTTGACTCTATTGACGCAATCGTTGTGGGTTCGACTCCCGCACGGTACTTATGTTTGTGTGTGACCTAACAGATAAATTGTTCCGAATCTATGTGCTCGCTTATATGCTATTTGTGTAGTTATGTGTAATGTTCCTACAACATCTTTGGGCATAACAATATCCTGTCTTTTCGACAAAGGGATCAGTATTTTTAAAGGATTAGTTATTTTTATAGTTATTTTAATAGTTTTGTTTATTTTAATAGTTTTGTTAAAATTAAAAATTTCTTATTTTTTTAGAACGATGTCCGTACTACACGTGATATACGCGAATACGATGTGGTAGATCATGCTATCACCGACACCACAAGAAAGGATACCGTTGTCAGCACAGTTTACGACGAAACCATCATTGATGACAGAAAAACAGTGCGAGACGACAAGACCATTGTTGAGGAGACCGTCTACATAGATGAAACAAAACCTCGACACGCTGGACCCAAAAAACCTGAGAAAAAGGTTGTTAAGGAGCAATGTATTTGCGAAATCTGTACTTGTGGGTGAGTAGTCATTTAACTCTCATTATGTTACCTTATCTGTTTTTGACGTTGGTAATATGCATTTCAAGGATATTGAAATGGGTATTACAATAACCTCGAATGGCGGACATCAATTTAATGAATGGGGCACTATATTCTGTACTGACCATCGGTCGTTCTGACTAGGTGATTTAAATTGAACAATGTACGACTACATTACTATGTCTTTGCATAGCTAATGTTTTATTATATGAAATGAATTATTAGATATGATTATTAAAACTTACAATCTTAATCTTTGGCGGATTGACAAGCATAATAAATTGGAAAACAACAGAAATATGGCGATATGTTTTGTCTTATCAATGTACGTATTCGTGATAACATTATGAAAGATAATATTTGGAAGGAACGGCTTACCGAAATAACGAATTACCATGTTTGCGATAAAAACTAGATGATATAATAATAAAACTCTTCACGTTCGCCAGTTAAATTATATTTAAGTTCAATTTATTATTACATTATCGGATTTGTTAACGTCGTACTAAATGAATTCCTATATGTAGTTCACATAATAAACTTTAACCATAACCTTACATCTGTGGTACATTACAATATGACACAGCTCTATCCTTCTCTACCTCCTTATTGCATGAAAGAAATGGACATGTCTCAGTGTTCATTAATTAAAGCTCCTCGTGTGAAAGCTTCATTTAACTTTAATTTATTAATAATCTAGCAGTCTGAGCGTTGGCGTTTCTTAAGTGACGAGATTACGGATGTCTGTAAACTCTATGGTCATTACGTAAGAAGTAGAGCATGTGCTTGTTGACGTCGTTCGTGTGACATATGAAATAAACTGTGATATATTGTCTGAAAAGTAACCAACGCCAAAAAAGCCTAAGTTTAATAACAATCGTTAACAGCATTATATGCCAAGTTCACGGCAAAACGAAAAAATGGTTATCTAACAGTAACAATGTCTTTGGTAAGATTTTTTTAATTTGAACGATGTGGATAGCAAAGTTAAGAACATATAACTTAAACTTAATTTTAACGTACAGAATTGTAACATTAAAATTATATTGCATACCGTGATTCTAAGCCATTTTGGCTCTATGTCTTAGTTGGTTAATCACCATTACTTTCGATTGATCGACCTTCTATCGTATTTGAAATTTGTATATATGTACTTTATAAAATGCTATTATATTTTTTTAATTATGAATTCGTGTACATTTGTTGCATGATTTGTCTGGAGGTAATGGTCTATAAATACAATTTAACTGCTTGTCGAGAGAACAATAAAAGATGTAGGCGACTGTCTTATGTTCATCGTGAGTCATAACGGGCCAACGTCAGTTTGCTTGCATCCTTATGTGCAGATGTGTAGGAGTTTATCGAACCGAAAGTTCTATTAGTATTGCCCTCAATACCAAACTCGTTTAGATAGCCCGACAATTTAAAACGTCTGCTGCTTAAAACAACTGTGATAATTTAATGGAATGTCTTATGGGACAAGAGATAATACTACAAAAATGTTTGACCAATAATGACAACAGTTTAAAAGTGAGCAAATATCTAAGATAATATAAGAAGTTCTTTTGTTTGACGCTTAAAAGTTTTTTTTATACAAGTACAATTGGCAAGTACTTTAGGTTTTAAATTTCAATGGCGTTAGAATTAAAAACGGGTTGTACTTGACCAAGGTTGTTACGTTCATTTGATGTTATAACGAAGGCATGATGTCATAAATAAGTTACTAAGATTTTTATCATGAAATCCTTCCCTAAAGTTATCTTTAACTAAAGTAATGTATATTGTTCAGTAGAAAACACAAGATTTTGTGCAGTAAATGGTGTAGTTAGAGTTATATTACTGCGTGCCAACGACACTAGAATAACATTGATTTGAAATGGCAAGGAATGACTAGCGACTTCTTTGTAATACCTACCATTCGCCGTGATTTACATAGTGACGTTATCAAACAAAACTTTCTTTAGTACTTACATAAATTATATACAGTTATGAACATTTAGTAGCAATGGTCTGAATAATAACAATATCCCTACCTACATTTTCATATCTTTTAATAAAAATAATTGCATACGTAATTAATAAGAGCAGGTGGTGGATCCATGACACATGTTTTCTACGTAATGGTAGTAATTGTTGGCGCATTAACAAGAAGTAATGAATAAACTTAAAAAAATTAATTACTTTTTGTATCGTGATGCCAAAGTGCCTTTCTTATTCGCAGTTGTCGTACTCTTTATCGAAACGTGTTTGTTATCGTAATACATTCGTGTGAAGGAACTTTAGTGTGGCCAATCTAAAACCGTACCCGATCGTACCTGGCGCTTGTGCTTTACATTCTAATAGAAGGGCAAAGGAACCACATAAGATGCCTATTAAGTGTTATCTTTGAATACCTTTATTGGAAACAATTTTAACTATTGCCTAATATCTATATTCTGATCTGTATCCATGCTTAACTTTTAAATGTGGCGTCCTCTATACTCATTAAGCTGGTCTGGTTCTTGAAATATTTGAATTTATGAATAATGGGCCCTTTAAGAATAATGGGTGATTTATATCTAGCGAGTGAGTCTTTAAGCTAATGTCCCGACGTTTTGGATGCAGCGACGACAAAAGGCAAACTGCCAATACTCAGAACGAGTTCCGCGTTGCGTAAAAATATTTTTGTCAGTTGACTGTCTATGTATGTCTTCGTCTGACTATATATGTATATCAATTGCCACATAACACGACAATCAGAAGTAGTCGCTAAATACGCATTAAAAAGCGTACGCGTTGAAGTCTGAGTTCCGATCAACCTGCTTAATAAGACCAGGTAACCCATTTGCGGACTAAAGAAATCTGCACTGGCTATTGACTTTCACGGGTCTCGTGTAGACAAGAGGCGATCGTTTTCTATATTGATAGATTTTCTAGACGTTAAACTAAGCGTTAGTTTTCAGAAGTGTTGTTTAGATCAACGAGTGACTTAAGCTCGGTGAGATCATTCTGCGTGAATAGTTTCTGATGCATATTTGAAATATTTGTGTTCGATGGATGCGCCATAAATAATACCTCTTTACTTGAAATTCAAAGGCGAAGTAAGTTGTTTCTCTTGGCTGTTCTTGTCTCACTAGAAATCCTTATTTCCTTACTAATATTATAAACGCGTAAGTTTGTATGTATTGATAGATGTTTGTTATTCTTTCACGCAAATACTACTGAATGGATTTTAATGAAACTTTACAATAAGATGCTTATGCTTTGATGCTTATACATCAGAATAAGACATAGGCTATATTTTTTTATTTTTTTATGTGAAAAGTTGCCAAACGAGCAGACGGTTCACCTGATGGTAAGTGAGTACCGCCGCCCATGGACATCTGCTACAGCCGAGGGTTACAGATGTGTTGACAACCTTTTGAATATTGGGCTCCGGCTACCTCACTCACCAGACGAAACGCGAAAGTATTTGTCATACTTCCACTTTACGCTGGTCTTCTGTGAGGTCGTGGGACTTACCCGAACGGGTCTGCCCAATCGTGCAACAGCCAAAAATGATTATTATATACATATTTTATGTATATCTGTCTTTCTGTCTGAATTTTACGCCTTCAGCCTATTCTACGCAGTAGTAGTCGCGGGCAGTAGCTAGTGCTAAATATTTCCCCAACAGGTGTATGTAAAAAAAGTGCAGAGTTCGCAGAAGAACGCAGAAGTTCCAATTCATTATTGGCGGTATTCAGTGTTGTGAGATCGTGGTACTTACCCAGATGGACCTGCCCATTCTTGCAACAGCAAATACTGTTGGGTGGTACCACAGTTTAAATACCGTGTTTATTTACGTAATATTTTTACATAAAATCTGGATTTTAAATGCAAATCAATAAATGTACTTACTATACTCAAACTTACATATAATAACTTTGAAATAACTTGGGTACGAAAAGAATAAAGTTTGCTAATAAAGGAGATGTGGAACAAATATATTTTAGATATCTAGGCGAGTGTCCATTATTAATACAACAACAAATACAAAATATGATACGTCAGTTCGAATGTGGTCAGAGTTTATCTGAATGCTGCAGTATATGTTGAAGTATTGACAACCAACACTTTCTGTGCTATCAATGACATTAAATGTTAATAATATCGCCAGGTTCATTTAAGAAATAATCGGTACATACACCTTGTTTATCGGTACGTTATCAAATATTACTTTAGGTACGGGCAAAGTATAAGCAATTACAAGTAATAATGGAGGCATAACAAGTAATGCCGTTTGAATACATGATTGACATACCTACAGTTCAACAAAGAATAAAATCTTTAAATTAACGTTTTATTTCATTAAAGAAGGATAAACAGGAAAGCCGGGACAAAAGGGATTTAAATTTCTCGCACTCAAACATCTTATGTCCGAAGCCTTTGCTTAGCCCTAATAAATAAAATAATCAGCCACCAAATAGTTACGAAATACGTTAAAGATAACCTAAATACTGTATTTACCTATTTTTATATCTTTAGGTAAATATTAGTAATTATACATATTTATTACTTTACGCACATATGACTAAAGGAACGTACTAGACTGCTGAGCATGTTGAATTTGTCTACGAGTCTGAATGAAAATTTTATGATTTCTTAATGTCCAACGAGGACAGATTACTTATTGATTAAATTCCATTTCGATGAAGTAAGTGTATGTGTGAAAATAATATATAGAAATGTAAAACCCTGTACAATTGGTTTTACTGGAACCTGAAATGTTCTAGAGGTTTTCGAGAAATATTGAGTTTATTATATTGTTTATGGTGTAAAATAAAAAGTAAATTAACGTTCAGTTTTTATACACACAGTAACTTTAACATTGTGTAGCCAAGTAGCCACCTGTGTTCAATTCAAATATGTGTTTTATACAAGTTATTCTTGTCATTAAAATACTAACCGAGCGTAATAAAAAATTTAAAACTTGGATTATCTTATTGTTCGTTGGTATA